AAAAAAAAAAAAAAAAAAGCATAGTCTATTAAATGTTTAAATGTAAAGCTTTAGATGATTCCAAAACATTTAAAACAGTGGGTTACACAAATAAAGACACTCAGTGTACTTTTTTGGGATGGGGGAGCACTGGAGAACCCTTACCCTCTGGGGTGCTGGGGTGGAAATCCTAGGCTGCTACAACACGCTCTTCCTGTACCTTTTTTGGGGGGGTTACTGGGAATCAAACTCAGGACCTTGCACTTGCCAGGCAGGCGCTCTGCCACTGAGCTGTATCCCTGGACCTCTTCCTGTGTCTTATTATTTCATTTTGATCAGAGTGCCCAGAGAGAGAACTTTTTTTTTTTTTGCCTTTTTGAGACAGGGTCTCACTATGTAGTTCAGGCTGGCAATGAGCTCATTTTGTATCTCAGGCTGGCCTTGAACTCTCAATGATCCTCCTGCCTCAGCCTCCCCAGTGCTGGGACTACAGGCGTGCACCACCACGCCTGGCCAGGCTGGTCTCAAACTTGCAATGATTCTCCTGCCTCAACCTTCCAAGTGCTGGGATTACAAGCAGGTGCTTTTTAAAAAAATTTTATTTATTTATTTATTTTTTGGTACCTGGAATCGAACTCAGGACCTGGCGCTTGCCAGGAAGGTGCTTGCACCATTTAGCTACATACCTGGCCAGAGTGCTGAGATTACAGGTGTGCGCCACCATGCCTGGCTCAAGAGAGGGAACTTTTAATTCACCCATGAGCATTTTAGGAAAAAAAAAAAGTACAAAAAAGTTCATTTGCTTTGAGACAGGGTCTTGCTATATAGCCCAGGCTAACCTCAAACTCCTAGTGATCCTCCTGCCTCAGCTTCCCAAGGGCTAGGGTCACGGTCGTTTGGTACCACCATAGCATGGAGAGATTTTTGAGTGAGGCGCTTTCCTGGCTACCGCCCCCCGACCCGGGGCAGCAGGGTGGATCCCCAGCTACTCACGCTCTGGCTTCTTCATCCGGTCCAGCTCTCCTCCTGCTCTGGCTTCTCCGCCGGAAGGCCCGAGTGGATCCCAGGCTCCCCGTCTCTGTGGCATCCGCTCTGCTGGAAGGCGGGGCTGGCCTGGCCACCACTCTGCACTAGGAACAGTAGAATCATCAATGCCTTGTCCTGCACCAAGGCTGGGGCCCAAACCAGGACTGCCCGGACCCCGCCCCAGGTCCCAGACAGCCTGCACTCCAACGTGCCTGAGTGCAGGGCCCCAGTTTACAACCGCGGGACTGAGCAGGTGCAGAGCTGAGGAGCAGTGAGGCAGAGAGACCTCCTGGAGGTGGGAGACCCAGCGGCCGGAGCCAAACCAAGGCGAGGCACTAACAGCGGGGCAGCCCGCGGCTACCTGTCCTCGGCCATCTACAGAATCCAGCAAATCAGAAATTCAGCGAACCAGTCATTTAGAAAATGAAGCAACTGCCTTTCGTGATAGCGCACGCCTGTTATCCCAGCACTTGGGAGGCTGAGGCAGGAGGATTGTTGCAAGTTTGAGTCTAGCCTGCCAGTAGTAAGTTCAAGGGCAGAGATGGAGGTAGCGGTGCAAAGAGGGGCAAAGAGACCAGCGTGAGTGTCACGAAGCAGGTCAAGGGGGAAGGAGGAAGCACTCGTCACTAATGGACGCTGAGAATGACTGTGAGACACTCTCCTCGCTACACACGTCGGCCTTGGGACCAGACAGCGGGCGGGCCAGACCTGCGTTACCGTGGAAGTAGCCATAATACTGCAGGTGACGACGCATGAAGTCCTCAGAGGGGTCGGGCAGGGGCTGCAGGAGGAAAGTCACGCCTGTCAGGGGGCCTCTTCCAAGGAGCCTGGGTTCTTCCCAAAGCACACATGCCCCACGCACAAGGGCACGGACGGCGCCTGGAGGGTGGTGTCCCCAGGAGCCTGCACCTCACAGGTGAGAGCCACGGCAGTTGTCCTCTGCGGGCCAGGTTCTGCAGCGGGATACAGCTGGGCCTTCGGTCACGGGCTGGCTGTCTTCGGGCTGCTGGGCGCGTGTGGACTGACCTGCTTCGGCTCCGTCTCCAACGCCGCGAACATGCTTCCTTCACATGGTGCCCGCGATCCAAAAGGACCGCAAACCGGGGAGAGGGAAAAGCCTGCAGCCACCAAGGGGTGCACGAGTGTGGGGTGCACGGGAGCACAGCTGAAGCAGGAAGATCACAATTTCAACCTCAACCCGGGCAATTTAGGGAGACCGTGTCAAAAGAAAAATATAAGAAAGGAAACCGGGCAGAGGGGCTCATGCCTGTAACCCCAGCACTCAGGAGGCTGAAGCAGGAAGACCTCAAAGGCTGGGGCTACACAGAGAGTTGGAGGCCAGCCTGAGATACATTAACCTGACCCTGCATCAAAAACTGAAGGGCAACCCACTCGGGGCCCATCCTGTCTCTCAAGAGCTATGCCTATTCCTCATTCCTATTCCCAATAAATTTTTTTTTTTTTTGTTTTGTTTTTCTGGTACCGGGAATCGAACTCATGACCTTGTGCTTGCCAGGCAGGCACTGTACCGCTGAGCTAAATCCCCAGCCCCTAAATTTTCTTATTTTTAATTTTATTTTCTTCTTCTTCTTCTTCTTCTTATTATTATTTTTTGTCTTTTTGAGACGGTCTCTCTGTGCAGTCCAGGCCGGCCTTGAGCTCACTTTGTAGCCTAGGATGGTCTCGAACTTGCAAGGATCCTCCTGCCTCAGCCTGTGGAGTGCTGGGATTACAGGTGTGTGTCACCATGCCCAGCTTCTTACACTTAAAAAACAAAAACCTAATGAAATAAACAGCTGTAGCTCGATGCTATCTGAGTTCAGGGCCCAGTACCAACCTGCCGTCTCTACCCCTCTTTGGGACGTGTGCCACTAGGACCCCCAGAAAGCGAAAGCAGCAGGTTGGGGCACCCCGAGGAGTCGCCCCCGGGCGACCAGAAGCTCAGGGGTCGGGGCTCCCCGGCCCGGGCGGGTCACAGCGAAGTTCCAGGGTCTGGCGGGCCGAGATCCGCAGGCCGGGCGCGGGACAGGCTCACTGAGCCACAGCTCCGGATGCGGACTCAGGCCGCGCCGGCGTAGCCTCGCAACCGCTCGCCGCGGCGGGGAGTTCCCGGCCAGCGAGGCCCCGCCCCCAGGGAGGGGCTCACTCACCGCTGTCCATTCCCGCCCCGTCCGGCCAGGATGGGAAGGCCACCTTCTTCGGTGAAAACTGAAGACCGGCTCACATCCAAGCAGCCCGACAGCAGACAGGTGGCCATCGGCACTCGGCAGGTTCGTTCTTTTTTTTTGTTTGTTTTTTGTTTTTCTCCGGTACCGGGAACCGAACTCACGACCTTGCGCTTGCCAGGCAGGCGCTTTGCCGCTGAGCTAAATCCCCGGCCTCACTGGCAGGTTCTTAAAAACGCTCGCTTCCACAGCGCGAAGGAGGCCGAGCCTGCAAAGCTCCAGCAGCCGAGAAGCGGCGGAGCCGCGACAGCCTCTATGAACTCTCCCCTGCCCAAAGCACAAGACAAGCTTAGGCGCAGAGCGGACAGCCTGACGTTAGCGTCATGATAAATAACTCCGGCACACCAGCACAGCAGACGCGGAACAGGTACAAAATTTTAATCATGTGCATAGGAATACACTGGAGTAGAACCCCAAGTGGTGTTTTGGTTAACTTTATATGAATATAACCAGCTTTGTATCACTTTTATTGAGCAGTCAAGCACCTTTTTTTTTTTCCAACTGGTAAACATTGCATATCGTTTCAAGGACTTAAACTGGTCAAATATAGTCAACACAAACCATCAAGCGACAGAAGAGAAGTCCTGATTACACAACTGAAGTAACAGGTTTAGAAGACTAAAAAAATACCCAAGCCAAGCGCACTGGCCCACGCCTGTAATCCCAGCACTCGGGAGGCTGAGGCAGAAGGATCGCTGCAAGTTCGAGGCCGGCCTAAGCTACAAAGTGAGTTCAAGGCCAGCCTGAACCGCACAGTGATACCCTGTCTCAAAAAGACAGAAACAAAAAACCAAACAGAAGTATAAAAAGAGCTTTATTAGTGGATATATACAAAATTTACAACGTCAGAAACTGGAGAAATACAAACAGCTTTAAAACACAATTTGCTTTTTCTTCAGTTTAAAGTGACTTTACCTGATTGTGATACAATAGAAAGTACACAACAGCAAACTGCCTTTTAAATACTGGAATTTTATGGAGAGGACATTCACACGTGGGAGGAAGGCGCCTGCCCGGACAGTGAGAACGGAGACCCTGGGACGGAGTGGCTCTCGGGACACCCACTGCCGCGCGCGTGGGCGAGCTCTCAAGGTCCAGGCGCCACCAGCTCGCTGCCGCCGCCCGTACGGCGATGTAACTGTGCCAGTGCAGAGGACTGTGGCGAGGACTCGGGGCCCGGCCACCAGCACTGGCGTCCGCCGCCAGACCGCCCCGCGTGCGGGCACGGGCGCACGAAGGCCTCCGGCCGGGCAGACGCAGGCTGCCTCTTAATTGCACTTGTTCTGGAGTAGAGGTCGGAGCCAGCCAGGACGACGCGGCTCTCGGGCAGGAGGCCTCCGCCCGCCGCCAGGCCCGGAGCGGGGCGCCTGGTTCTCAGGGTGACCCTGGGCGACAGCACAGGCACCGGGCCGAAGCGGCCCGTCCCCTCGCTCGGCAGGGCCGGGACAGTGCCGTTCACGAGCGGCAACTCTGCACCGGAGCGCGCGGCGGCCAGGGAGCGCGCGTGCTCAACGCGTCTAGTTTACTGGACAGCAGTAAAACTGGTTAGGACTCTGAACTGAACACAAAACGAAGTTATTTAAAAAAAATTTTCAACTATGTGTTCGGAGCCATTTTCCTTCTCTTTAGTCTTGCTCGCCAATCCTCGGGAAGGGCTTCAAAATTCGCGTTTCTCTCCGCCATGCCGCTGCGGAAACCACACACAGGTCAGCACCGCGCGGAGGAAGCGGGGCGGCCGCCCGCGGAGCCCCGGGGCCTCACCTGACCAGCTGCTGCTGCTTCCACTCCTCGATGCGCTTCTGCGCCGTGGACTCGCGGTCCTCCTCGCTGGAGCTCGAGTTCTCCTCCTCGTCGAGCTCCCGCTGGATACTCTGCCACTTCTTCACCAGGGACGGCATCTTGGTCTTACTCTTCTTGGCCTGGAGCACAGGAGGAGGTCAGAGCTAGGCCATCTGTAACGGCGAGGCGACGGGTCCTGCCGGCGCGGGCTCGGGAGCCTCCCGGCCCGTAAGGGGCAGGCGCGCCCCACAGCCGAAGCCGTCTCCTTCCGCCCGCCCGCCCCCCGGAGCCTGCGGAGCGAGACCGGCTTTTCCGAACAGAGCCGCAGGGCGGGCAGGGGCAGAGCACACCCGAGGCCGGCCGGGCCCTCCCCGGAGCTCGGCTCCCGGTCCGGACCGCAAGACGTCCCTCGCCCCTCTTTTCTTTCACTCTGCGCTACGAAGGCGCTGTGGGAGCACACAAGACCGCTGGGGGGGGGGCCAGGGAAATCCCTGCTCTGACAGGCCCCCTCTCCCGCGCCCACGGAGCCCACCTTGGCCCCCGGCCCAGTGTGGCATGCCTTCCGCGGCTTCGGGAAAATGCCTCCCACACCCACAGCGACTCCAAGCCACCCGCCTCCACCCTGGGGGAAGCGCAGCCAAGCAGAGGCTCCCCTCCGACTCGCTTCCCACCCGGCCTCGCAGACAGCTCTTGACAGGGCACCCGCTCAGGGGGCCCCAGGTGTTGTTCCAGAGCAGAAAGCCGTGAAAGAGGCCCCACCTCCTCCTGGGCGGTACTGGGGTCTCTGCACCGAGCTATATACCCCTGCCTTGTGATTTTTTGAGACAGGGTCTTAGTATGTAGTTCAGGCTGACCTGAAACTTGTGGGGACCCTCCGTGCCTCTGCCTTCTGAATGTTAGGATTACAGGTCTGTGCCATCATGCCCACTTCCTGATCCCAAGCATCCTATTTTGTGCTTGAGGCAGGGTCTCTATGCAGTTCAGGCTGGTCTTGAACTCATGGTGATCCTCCTGCCTCAGCCTCCTGAGTGGTGTGATTGCAGGAGTGCACCATAATGCCCAGCCATCAAATACTGTTGATAATTAATGGCGTTAATACTGTTGGTAAAAACTCTGACTGGAACCTCTGATGAGAACGATGACAATCTGGACGAGGGTTGGTGGCTGGCCGAGAAAGCCAGTGTAGGAGCTACGGCAGCTAGAGGGGATCGCAGGGGGGCAGGCAGGTCCAGAAGTCTCTCTCTCTCTCTCACACACACACACACACACACACGCCGGTACAAATATGGTTAGAGCTACCTACCTAAGTCAGCAAAGCCACAGGCACCAGACCCACAGGAGAGCCAGCGCGTGTCTACGTGCGGCCCAGCACCAACCCCCACGCGGAGGAAAGCAGCCCCACCGAAACCCCACCGCAGAGAATGCAGAAGCGGAGGAAGGACGAGGACTCAGATACCCCGAGAGCTCGAAGACTGAGGTGCGTGGCAGGTGCCGTGCTCTCACGCCGGTGCCTCACCGCGCAGGGCCGGTCTGCAGGTGCCGGTCTGGGCTCAACCAGCGCCCGGGAACAACAGAGCCGCGAAAGCAGCGCCGCCCGCAGCGGCAAAGCTCCACGCTCCGCCCAGCGCCCTGAGCCCGCCAGCGTCCGCGACAGCAGGAGCACGGCCTTCTCCACCCCGCCGGAAAGCAGCAGCGCGCGTGCAAGTGTGCCGGCCCTGCCCTGCCTGTCGCGTTAGAAAAACAAGCACTGCTACCCGAGGCGGGTCAGCGAACGGCCTGAGCACTATGACCCTCTTACCAGAAGAACACAAATAAATCTCCATCGCCTTGCAAAGGGTTATACGTATGGCATCAAAAGAACAATTCACGAAAGGGGAAAAAGATTAAATTGGACTTCTAAATATGCGGTACATGTCTGTAGCCCCACAGTGCAGAAGCAGGAGGCAGGAGGATCACAAGTTCAAGCCCAGAATGGGCAACTTAGCAGGACCCTGTCTCAAAAAATTCAAGAAGGGGCGGGCGTGGTGGTGCACGCCTGTAATCCCAGCACGTGGGAGGCTGAGGCAGGGGGACTGTTGCAAGTTTGAGACCAGCCTGGGCTACAAAGTGAGCTCAAGGCCAGCCTGAACTGCATAGTGAGACCCTGTCTCAAAAAGGCAAAAAAATAAAAAAAAATTCAAGAAGGGCTGGAGATGTACCTCAGTGCAAACACCCCGGGCTCAACCCTCAGTACCCAAACAATTCCCAAAAACAGTAATTTGCTCTAGGGAGGGAAGGAGAAAGACAAAACTACAGACAGGGAAAAAGCAGCTAGAAATGATGTCACAAAGGACTTGTGCCTTGAATACCCAGAATTCTCCTAACTCAACTATAAAAGGATAAACGAGACCCAGCTACTCAGGCGGCTGAGGCAGGAGGTCTCAAGTTCAGAGGCAGGGGCAGCAGAGGGGGCTGTTTGAAGGGCTGGGCAGCAGGTCGTGGGAGAGCGCTTGCTGATTACTAGCATGGGACGCGGATCAGGTCTCCAAGCACTTGCTGAAGAAACAAAGCACCAAGGGCGCCGGAACGCAAGGTCCTGAGCAGCTGTTTCTCCACGGGAGACACCAATGGCCCAAGTGAACGCGGGAAGCACTCACTGGAGACACAGCGCGAGCCGCAGTGAGCTACCCCCGCACACCCTCTAGGCCCGGGCATGATGGAGGACAAGACGGGGCAAGACAAAAAAGGGAGAATCTGGGCTGGATGTGGTGTTACACGCCCATAATCCCAGCACTTGGGAGGCTGAGGCAGGAGGAAGGCTGCGAGTTCGAGGCCAGCCTGAACTGCAGTGAGAACTTGTCTCAAAAATGCAAAAAAACAAGAGGAGCCTCGAGTACTGGAGTGCACGGGAAGCGTGGAGAACCGTGAGCGAGGCGGATGGCTGCCTGTGAAGGCCAGCGGCAGCACTTTCCCAACAGCTGGGAGGCAGGGCCACCACACCGCCTCCAACGGGTGGGACAGACGCACACTAACAGAAGCCCGCAGGATGCTGGCGGCTGACGGAGGCCACGTGCAGGAGGCCACGCTCTGCAAGCTCTCGGGTGGCATCCACCCGAGTGGGGCGGTCGCAGAGGGGCGTAGAAGGCAGAGTGCGGCCCGGCAGGAGGGCAGGCGAGGACTGCTGAATAATACAGTGTTCTCTGATGCAAACGAAACTGCTGTGTACTTACAGCTGGTGAGCACACAACACTGTGAATGTGCTACTGCTACTAAACTGCATACTGTGCTGGGAGGCTGAGGCAGGAGGATCGCTGCGAGTTTGAGACCAGCCTCGGCTACAATGTGAGCTCCAGGCCAACCTGAACTGCATAGCGAGATCCTGTCTCAAAAAGACCACCCCCCGCAAACCTGCATACTTTAAAAGTGGCTAATTTGCAAGTGTGGGGGCACATGCCTGTAAGCCCAGCAGCCTATGAGGCTGAGGCAGGTGAATCTTAAGTTTGAGCCCAGCCCAAGCAACTTAGCAAGACCCTGTCTCAAAATAAAAAAAATATTTTAAAGTACAGAGTGCTTTTTAAAAGAGACCTGCCTTGTCCTTCTTTCCTTTCTTCGCCTTCTCTGGTGGCGGTGCTTTGGGAGTTGGCGGTGGCGGCGGCGTGGGAGGCGGCGGAGGCGGCAGCGGTGGCTCTATGGCGGCAGCGGTGGGCACGGCCCCGCGGGCCTGGACTGGCTGCAGGGAGGCTGCAGTCACGGCCACGGGGGCGGAGCACGCAGTGTAACTCAGGACGGTCGGTGTGGCTGTGAGGCCCAGGTAGCTGGACTGCAGGCTCAACCCTCTGGCCTGGGGACCCAGGCCTGCTGCTGCATGGCCAAGGGACATGGGCTGGTGTCCAATCCCTGTGGCCTGGGGACCTAACGCAGAAAACGGAACAGTGTGAGCAGGATACAACAGAACCAAAGTAAGACCTAGAAGGAAAAAGGACCCCAGGGAGGATCACAACGCACAAAATGATTCTCAAACATCTTCTCAAAAAGTACAGCTGAGCTGGGCGTGGTGACACACGCCTGTAATCCCACCACTCAGAAGGCTGAGGCAGGAGGATCGTTGTGAATTCGAGACCAGCCCGGGCTACAAAGAAAGCTCAAAGCCATCCTGAATTGCACAGCGAGACCCTGTCTCCCAAACAGAAACAAAAACAAAAACACCAAAGCCAAAAACCCACGAACAACCTGTACTTGCAGCAGCAAAATAATGACTGCAACAGCATTAAGGTTGTAACAGCACTAAGGCTCTTAACCCTCAAAGCCACTGATGCACGTGACATACAGAGAACAAGGTGGGAGGGCACATGCCACGTTGCTCTCATCAACACATGGGCCTAATGCTGGAAAGCAAAACCCACCGCAGGGCAGAACCAAGTCCGCTCACGCTCACCGCTGGTCAGGGGCGGCTGGCTGTAGATGACCGGGGAGCTCCCGATGGTCGCGGACCTCTGAACCACCGCACTGCTCATTTCCGCTGCTTTCCTCTTCACCGCCTTAGTGGAAGGAGAGCTGGAGGCGGTGGTGTCCGCGGCACTCTGAAACACACAGCGTGGTCATCGGCCAGGCTGATGGCCATGGTCGTCGCCACGGTGCCAGTCACGCCCTGGCGCCCATCGCCCTCCCCGGAGCGCCCGGGGCACCTACCTGGCTGGTGACAACTGCAGCCGGAGCTGCTGGTTTCAAAGGAGTGTCCTCCTCTGTCCCGGGGGCAGGGGGCTCCTCACTGCCCTCGTCCTCCATCTCCACCTCCTGGATCTCCCCGTCTTCCACCGGGGGTGGCGGTGGGGGCGGTGGCGGGGGAGGAGGGGACTCTGGAGGAGGTGGTGGGGGCGGCGGCATCTCGAGGGGTAGCGGCGGCTGGAGCACGGGCACGTTGGACTGAAGGAGGGTCCAGAATGGAGTGAGCGGCACGAGTGACGGAGAGGACACTTGAGCAGAAAAGGACTCTTTACAAAGGGGACCTACGAAAACAGACACCAGTCAGGGCAGCGGTGGGCGGGCTCCACGGCTGCCGGGGCCGGGCGGGCGCGGCGGCCCAGACAGCGCGCACGGGGCCCCAGGACACGGCTTGCTCCCCTCCAGAGGACTTGCGTGCCGAGGGTGAGGGCGCGCCTGGGAGCTGGCACTTTCCCCAGCTGGGACACATGCGTCTTGTCGGGTCAAGATTTACAGGTAAACAAACGATTGCTTTAACTCACTGAGACACTTGGGCATCGGAATCTGTAGATGAGGATTTTCGATTTCAAACGTTCAGTTTCGACATGAAAAGAGAAGACACTAGGCTGGGGTCCTCTCTTGTTTCAAAGTTAAAGAGTGAGCTGCGCATACTTGCAACACTGACCCTGAGTAGAGTGAGCGGCAGATGGAGCAAGCAACCCCCCTCGGGGCCACTGCCCACTGCGCCCTTCCTCCATGTCCACGGCCCTTGTATTTCGCAAGTGCGCCAGGGCCACCTTGCGCTGTGCAGGGATAGAGGGGCACACTGAGGAGGACGCATCTGCAATGCAAAGGTCAGCTCAGACTTCCAAAAGCAGTTTCAAGGTGCAGAGGCCCAATGACAAAAAAAAAAAAAAAGCCGGGCATGGTGGCACACGCCTGTAATCCCAGCACTCGGGAGGTTGAGGCAGGAGGATGGAGTTCGAGACCAGCCTGGGCTACCCTGCCTCAAAAAGACCAAAAAAAAAAAAAGAAAAAAAAAAGTGCTACCGAAAAATTTAGGTACCAAACACGTTTTCCAGCTCAAAGAATTCAAATGACTCATTGCATTTTTGTATTTGGAATTAAGTGACAGTAATTGGATACGCTAACTTTCACACAAAATCTGAGTATGACCAGGAAGCTTGTATTAGATATAGCAAGATTACCTCAGAATTAGCTGGGCCGAGTGGTGAGTT